AGCTTCACGCGTCACTAGTTTCGTGTCTTAATACCTCAACCCCTGCTTCGCAGTCGTCTCCCATCGCTTCCGCTCAATGCAAGATGTCAGTCAGTCCGCACGTTGCGAAGCGGCCGTCGCCTCTTTCAAGGATGGCTCCCTCTCTCGCACTGCCGTCACTCTCGCTCTCCACGCCATCCTCACCGAGACCCCTCCACCCGGCGCGAACGGCGTCACCAGCGTCGCTCCAACATCGGCCGAAGCCGAATCTTACATGGAACCGTACATCGACATGTGCGACCAATGGGAACGGGACCAGGAAGCGGCCAAGAACCGAGGAAAGCGCAGCCGAGGTTCTGGTACCGCCACCGGCGAAGAGGGAGAAGATGACCATCAGCCACCCCGTGACGACGACGACGAGGACAACGAAGAGCGCCCGACTAAGCGCCGGCACGTCTTCGAGGAGGAGGAGCTCCCCTGGGTCCGACTCGAAGCACTCACCGGTTCGCCCCCTCTGCGTGCGGACCTTGCAGAAACTGTCCGGCTCCTCGGCGTTTACGCCGTCGACCCGAAGCGCTCCCTGCGCTCTCTCCTCGCACGTACCCGGGTCGAGTTTCCCGAGTCGCAGTGGCTCCGCCTCCTTACCAACAGAGCCATCGATCTCGACGCAGTCCTCACCGGGATCTACAGTGTCTCTGCCAGCACTACGCACACCGAATCCGTCGGGGACATCGATCTTACCTTCAACTCCGCACCTTCTCGATCGACTCGAGTCATTGTTACCCAATCCGACTGGACAATCGCCTGGATGCAGACCGTCCAGGCAGGCCTCACGGTCTTCCCACACCTCTCTGAGCAGTACCGTCACTGGGGCCTCTACATCCTCGGAAAGTTCGCCGCCGTACACGAGTCCAGCCACCAACGAGTCATCAATTTCGAGAAGGCCGGTCGACTACTCGCTAGCCGCCGAGCAGATGTTGCGCTCGATGAGCTCTTCCATTTCTCTGCCCTCGAAACGATGCACCTCAACTCCATGGGGCGCCTCGCCATGGAGTCTTCCTCCAGCAGTGCCGGTCGATCGAAAAACCACTCGTCCAACAGCGCTGGAGGTGGAAGAGGGTCAGGTGGTGGCAGCGGATCAAAGTCGAAACCTCGCACCGGCAGCGATAAGTCCTCCGAGCCTTGCCGGCTGTGGAACGCTGGCCGTTGCAAGCGCGACGCCACAGACTGTCGCAACCTCCATATCTGCTCCAGCTGCAGAAAGAATCACCCCGAGTCTGACTGCCCCAAATAAATCAGTGATGCCGCCGAGGCCGCGTTACCTTCGCTCATTCATCTGGTCGGACGGAGAGAGGCACATCAGTCAGACAGCCCTCGGTACTGAAACCGATCCGCCATTCCCGGGAGTTCCCCTGGAAGCGTTCGAGAATGCCGCGCTTGTGCAGACGGTTATACATAATCCCCGTCTGTTTCGCATCTCATCCCCCATCGATGTCGACCTACTCGAACGGCTACTCAGCTCGCACCCCAACCAACCGCTTGTGTCCTCGTTTTGTAAAGGCCTTCGGGAGGGATTCTGGCCCTGGTCTCGCCCTGTACGCTCACACCCCGTCACGCTTGATGGTTCCAAGGCAGTGCGTTCCGATGCTGAGTTGGCTTTCCTCATGAAGACTCGCGACGAGGAAGTCGACGCCGGCCGCTTTTCTGAACCCTTTCCCGCACTGCTGCCAGGCATGCACGCTATCGCCATACACGCCGTGCCGAAGCCGCACTCTGAGAAGCTCCGTCTGGTGACCAACTTCAGTGGCGGCGATTTCTCCCGCAACTCTACCATCTCCCGCTTCGACACCAACCGAACGAGGATGGACGGAATCAGAGAACTCTCCGATCACCTTCGCGAGTTGCGTCGCACTCACGGTCCAGACGTTGAGATCAATATTTTCAAGTCCGACGTCAAAGGTGCATTTAAAGTCCTCCCAATGCACATACTTTGGCAGCCGTGGCAGGTCTACCGCATTGCTGGCAAGTATCACGTCGATCGCGCCGCAACGTTCGGCTGCTCGGCTTCACCACCAATTTGGACGACCTTCGCAGGTTTCGTCCTTTGGATCGCCATGGTGGTCTACTTCATCCCGCACCTCTTCGCCTATATGGACGACTTTCATTCCGCGCAGCTGGCCGACGATATGCTGCTCTATAAGCCTTACAACTGTTTGTTTCCGCGGAACCAAACTCGGCTGCTTCTGCTTTGGGACGCTCTGGGGATCCCACATTCCGGGGACAAGCAGCTGTTCGGCCACGAACTCGTCGTGATAGGCTTCTTAGTCGACTCCCGTCGGATGCGTGTCACCATTCCGGATGACGCGCGCACTGCTTTCCTTGCCGAAATATGCCGCTGGACTCAGAAATCCAAGCACGGTGTCAGGCGCTCTCTCCGGGAATGGCAGGCCCTTGCCGGATACACCAACTGGATCTTCAATGTCTTCCCTCTCCTCAAACCGTCGCTTTGCAATGTTTACGCGAAGATGGAAGGGAAGGATAGGGGCGACGCATTGATCTTCGTCAGCGATGCAGTTCGTCGGGATCTCTCTTGGTTAGCGGCCCATGTCGCGTCGGCGGACGGCGTTCTCCTGATCAAAACAATCGACTTCGACCCACGCAATGCCAATCTCATCATATACTGCGACGCCTCCACTCATGGTGACGGCCGCGGCGGCATGGGGTTCTACTTTCCTTCGATGGGTCTAGGCTACCAGTCCGAACTTCCGGCGGGGATTCGCGACGATCTCAAGATCTTTTTCTACGAAGCTCTATGCGTCTGTAGTGCGCTCCATCGGGCTGCCACGTTCCTCCCGAAGGGAGCGCGGTTGACCATATACACGGACAGTTCAAACTCCGTGGACATTTTCAACTCTTTGAAAGCCCTCCCTGCCTACAACGACATCTTGAAGTCCTCCGTAGATGTTCTCCTGCTTCACGACATTGAGCTGCGAGTCCTCCACGTCCCTGGGAAGCTGAACTCTGTGGCGGATGCCATCTCCCGCTGGAAGAACAGTGTCGCGGTTGCCCTGGTTCCCGGGCTCTCTATCCACCCTTTTACACCCCCTCGAGACGCGCTGGGGGCAGCCAAAAAATGATCTTCGAGCTGTCACCCGGCTCACGCCAGCCTCCGGAGAGGCGGGCCTGGACCACAGCTAAGCTCGTTCACGAACGGGCAATAGCTCTTGGATACGCGATCGATAAATCATCCAATTTTACTTACACTTCCGCATTGAACTCGTACATCAACTTCTGTACTCTGCACGGCTTCCCAATCGAACCTACGGAGGACACGATGTCTTTCTTTGCGATCTACATGTGCCACCACATCAACCCCAACTCCGTCGACTCTTACCTTTCCGGCATCTGTAACCAGCTCGAATCAGCCTTCCCCAGTGTCCGTGATGTACGAAAGTCCCCGCTGGTGAAGAACACGCTAAAAGGCGCGAAGCGACTCTTCGGTAAAGGTACGAAGCGCAAACGGCCCTTGGCCACGACCGACCTGCTTCTGGTCGTGCGCTTTCACGCGGCACAACTTTCGCGCTCCCACGATGACATTCTATTCATCACCATACTCTTCTCTGGATTCGACGGCCTGATGCGGCTCGGGGAACTGACGTGGCCGGACAAGGTTGCCCTACGCAACTGGAAGAAGGTTATTCGTCGAAACTCCGTCACGTTCACGGACTCCTCAGCCGGTTTCTTCCTCCCGGGCCACAAGGCCGATAAATTCTTCGAGGGGAACCAAATCATCTTCCGTTCTCGCGTTGATCTGGAGCTCGACACCGTGTCAAAGATCCGTCGCTATCTTGCGTCACGCGATACCCTCTTCCCGCACCACCCCGCCCTTTTCGTCCGTGAGAACGGATCGATTCCTACACGCTCCTGGTTCATTGCTCGCCTCCGGCAGCACTTTGGGAAAGATATTGCGGGCCAATCGATGCGGGCCGGCGGCGCTACTTCCCTCGCACAGGCGGGTGTCCCCCCACATCAGATTCAGGCTATTGGTCGATGGGCATCAAATGCCTTCCAGATCTATATCCGCAAAAATCCCACTCTCCTACAGTCCATGCTTTACGCAGGCCGCTCTGCCCACGATGGGCCTGAGCGCGAACCTCTCGCATTCCCTGCAGCCTCGTAGGCTGCTCGCTCGCTCCTCTCCCTCCCCCTCACACTACTCAAAAAAAAAAAAAAAAACATCTCCATCCTATGTTCCGATGACTAGGCAATACCCGGTTTCCGCTCCTCCCTCACCTCGCTCCATTTTATTTCCCTCCTTTCCTCCTCTCCACCCTCCTCAAATTTCCTTCCGGTACCTTACGATACCCACGATGAATTGATTCGGGCTCCCTTTGGGGAGTCGCTTTTCGGCTAAACGAGCACCTGAGTTCCACCGAAGAACGTGAGGTTCTGGAATGTCGGCGCGCTTGTTCATTCGGGGCATTGCGCCGACTCGGAGAAAGCCGAGCTTTCGCTGACCGGTCTGGCCGATTAGAGCCTAGGTAAGCCTTCGGCCTTCCGGCTTGCTCTGGCATGTCTCCGGGCCGGCGAGCCGGCCATCGATTTTTGTCAACAAACTCAACAAGGATCGGAACGGCAGGCTTGACCCGAACCTATGCTTCTGGCCTCTTCTGGCTCTTACAGGGTGATCATGTCAGGAATGATGTTTACTCTGAATAGCACCTTGATAGCACCTGGATATTACTTGAAACTCGATAACACAACTGCAAAAAAAAAATGCCCAAACGGGTCCAGAGCCAAATCTCCACTGCTCACAAACTGCTCATTTTTGTTAATGGGGAATTAGAGGCACTTCTTGGGTGAAAGGTGTATCGGCCCCCAGGCCGTAGTCTGCCGATCATTTCTAGGTCGACTACGGCAGGATGACAATCGATGGGAACATCGATAACAGATAAGATATTTCATCGATGGAATGCACGAAGGGGCGACAAAAATACTACGGCTATGAGAAGCAAAGAACATAGCAGCAACTCGTTTCGATCGAGTGACCTCGGGGTGGCTCAATTGATGATAAGAAACCATCTGCACATATGGGCCCCGCGCGCTTCCAGACTGCGCCATGCTGCTGTTGTGGACGGTCTGAGGAAGCACATCTCAGGTTTCGCATGCAGATATCAAAAGAATCGAAGGGGAAATGCAGATATCTGAGTGACTAGAAGATCAACTAAATCGAAAGGAGCAAATCGCCTGGAACGCGGCTCGCGGGCCGAGAAATGTGGTGAGGGAACTCCTGGGACAAGTGCTCACGCTACCAAGCTAGGACACTGTCATCTGCACCGTGTACCAGCCTTGTGGACTACTACCAGGATGGCTTGTGAAACGGTGGGCAATTTCATCTTCAAGAAATTTTGAAGCGTCGAGAGTCACGGAGTATGATGGAACACTTACCGCGGCATGCCAAAACTTCGAAGTGGTTCAAAGATTCTGACCTGTGCGCTTGAAGCCAGGCCTAGACATGTCACCGTGCAGCGGATTTGAACACCTTCAAAGCCGATTAAAGCCGTTGAAGATTTTTCCGACATAGCGTAAGTTGATGAACCCGACAGACGTTTTGCTGCACATCTTTAGGTATGCGCCGGCCTATGAATCCCGGGGGAAAGGTTGACCTGTGCCAATTCAATGATCAATTGCGTAATTCGGTTGCATTTTAGGCGCCAATGAAGTTTTGCTAACGAAAATGTCCCTTGATCCATTCCCTAAAGGAAGGAACTCAGAGCCCGATACCGCAACTCTTCTGGCTGCATCCAGAGACTGGCAGTCGCCCAAGAATCGATGCAATAGAGTGTCAGCGAGCAGGAAACCCGAATATCCGCAGCATGCGAACACATATTTGAATTACGCACAATGCCAACGCAACATATCGTACAAGTTCCCCCTTCCTTCCCTACCGCCCCCGGCCTTGGACACAAAAATTGAAAGCAAAACGAGACGAATCAAGGGCTAGTGCTCATAGCGCAATCCCACGCTGCCGTGCCACAAATTTGGCCAGATACGCGACGACCCCGCCAGTCTCCTCGCCCACGGGTCGGATCCATGCCGGCGGGAGCGCAAAACCGTACTGCAAACGGCGCGTCAATTATTCGTAGCCAGAAACAGGAGTAAAGAAAAGAAAGGAGAGAACCGGCTTACCGTCCCCGTATCCCTCAGAAATGCGGAATACGCATACTTGACGCCAGTCGTGGTGTACACGTAATCGAGCAGATTTCCAGGCGCGCTGGGAGCGAGCAGCGTTAGGAGATCAGCAGGAGAAGGGAGCAAGAGTCGACGAACCGGTAAAGCAGATTGCAGAGGGTTCCGGTCTGTGCCCAGGGAAGTATAAGCAACGAGCATGCGGACGAAGACAGACGCCCGCGAGAAGGGAAGGCTGAAGTAGAGGAGGAACGGGGAGACGGAGAGCAACGCACCGCGAATGGCGTGCCGTACGCCGCCCTGCCCGCCTGCGCCGCGCCGTGGAGCGCCTCCATCTGGTCCTCCGCGTCCTTCGGCAGCTTGTCGCACTTGTACGAGTACGGCGCTGCCACTGTGTGTGTCTCCCGTCAGCCTATGTGTTTCGCCAGGAAGGAAGGATGAATGATCTTGGAACAAAAAGGGCCACCGCACAACAGGCGGATAAAGGAGGAAGCAAAGAAGGAAGGAAAACCAACACTCACACATCTGCCCATAGCTCCTGAGCTCCAGGAAGGCGGCGACGGGGCCCTTCGCGCCCTTGCCCACGCCCTGCACGCGCGTGAGGTAGTTCGCCACATTCGTCACCTCGTGTGCCTCGAACGCGCGATGCCCGGGATACCAGTGCGAGCACGGGTCCGCGGGCAACTTGTTTTTCCTCTTCTTCCCCCTTTTCAGCTCGCCATCATCCCCGCCTGCTGCGTCAAGGTGCGACTCAACGGAGGAGTCAGCGCCAGACGCAGGCGCGAATAACGGGTGCTTGGCGTGCGGCTTCCAGTGCGCGCCCCAGTTTCTGCAAGAAGTACACATCAGGGACCGAGGCGGAAGAGACAGAAGAAACGCACCGGTTCATGTCGATTCCGATGCACTTCGCGCCCGGCCCGACAATCTGGCGGTTTTTATACCTGCACAAGAATAGAAGACAAGAATTGGTTCTGTGAAGAGCAATTTGGCGGGTAGAGGGACAGGGCACACCAGAAGCGGTCGCCCTCCCAGGTGTGGATATAGCCGTCCGGGTTCGGAGACGGGATGATGTGGAAGTCCTGCCCGCAGCATGAGCAAAGGCAGCTGGTGGAGGGGGGTGGACTCACGAATGCGTCGAGGAGGTACGAGAGCGACCCGGGCTCGTCCTTGTCCGCTAGGAGCGCATGCGCAAGGTAGAGCGCGGTGGACGTGGCGACCCACTGTGCTCAAATTCAATTATCGCATCCACGGCAAGGAGAACGTAGCACGCACCTCGCGTGCATGCTGCGGCCCCAGCACCACAAAACCGAGCTTCTGAACCGCAGTGCCGTTCACGGGAGCGGAGATCTTCATCCCGAGCATCTCGCGGCCCTCGGAGGTGTGCCCCAAGTCTACGATTTTCACGAAATCGGGGTGCGCGCGGGCAAGCGCAAAGATGAATTCATCAACTTCGGCCTGTGGGTGGTACGCTGCGTGGAAGGTGCTGTTCTCCAGCGAGTCGAGGCCCCAATCATCGTCCGATAGCCCGAGACTGCGGTCGGGGATGCTGACGTTGCTCAGCGTGTGTGGGGTGGTTAGTAGCACTCCCGGAAGAGGCACAGAAGATGGTGAGGAGTATATGTCGACGTGCGGCACGTCCCCCGCGCCGATTTGCCAAATATCGAGGTCGTGTGCCTGTGCCAATGTGGTCGTGTGAGCAGAGCTTCACGCAGAGCGGGGGGGCTGGAGCTCGCCTGGGCCATGTCCAGCACATCTTCGAGCCTACCCAAGCTCGAGGGAAAAAACCTGCGGAGGACGCCCGGCGGGGGGGACGTGTGGGCGTCGAATGCATGCTGCTCGAGTGCGGCCGCCGCGCAAGGGAGGGCGAGGAATGCAGAAAAGAGGAGGCTGCGCATGAGTCCTGATGATGTTTTGAGGTGCGCCAGTGGGCTCGAGCCTGTATCAGGGCGCAGAGGAGCGTAGCACAGTTGGGGACTGAGGGAGGAGCGTCACGGTGCAGGTAAACAGGCCATGACAATAGATATCGGCTGCGGATCCGATCAGCCGATGATGGGGTCAGATTTTGATTTCAAGTCAAGGGGTGTCGAAAACCGTAATTCCGGAACTTGACTACCCACTGGTGGTAGTCAGTCAGGTGCCCGGGGTCCTGCTAAATAAGTTTTGGCGCCCTTTTTGCCAAAGTTTTGGATTTCTCTTTCATTTCTACTGGTATCACTGGTTTTTAGGAGCCAGGGTAGTGAAGTTTGATCCCCTGAGCTCGAATATTAAAAAACATTCAGGATTCGAATCCGTGTTCGAGCACATTCGTCGAGCCGGTGGGACGGCAAAGCCTGATGGCATCATCAATAGATATCAACAACACGTCAGTCTTTGCCTTCGCGTTCTCAAATCTCGTCGCGTCCACAACGGCGCTGCACCGTGGGATAGCGGATGGTAATTAATGTTCGTATTTAACAGGAGTCCTGTCCGTGGTGCATTGTATGCCTTCTGGATGTGGTTTCTTGTGTGTTACTCTGGAACTTACTCAGTGTGTTCGCACTCCTCCGATGTGTACTGGTCGCTTTTGACCATCGGAATCTGGAGTAATAGTCGTCGAGGTTGATGCATTGATGTATGGTGAGAATCGACGAGCAAGAGGCCGGACGCGAGACAAAGAGTCGCGATACGACTTCGAGTCGGACATTGCCGTGCAAGCGGAGGTGATGTCGCGTCGGTGATACATCCGTTTTAGGCTTAGCGACTCTTAGCGACTGATTCGCGACTGGTGGTGGTCATTCAGGTGCTCGGGGTCCTGGCAGGGAAGTTTTGGGTAGTCGCGGTCCGGAAGTTTTGGCCTCGACACCCCTTGTTTCAAGTAGTTGTTCGCTTGCGTAGGTTTTGGGAACATGCACAGACTAGACCTCATTGGATTTCGTTTTGAACAGCGGTTTTGTACAATGAATACGGGCGCCTGTTTCCAAGAAAGATTTTGCGGGTCCGGCTGGAGCCCAGGTACTTATATTTGCTTCAAGTAAGTATCTGAGGTGTTGAGTGTGCTGCCAGCCTGCTGTGTCCTGTCACAATCCCCGAATGATTGTTTTGGTGAGTTCTAATAATGCCCTATGACATATCGGCAAAAGCGGTTCCCTAACATCCCTGTTTAATGTAGACCTAGAGTAGATACTATTTCAGTCATGTACCCGGTGTTGGAATGGGTGATGAGCTGCGGCAGCCGGACAGATTAAAGCAGGAGTTGGGGTTCTTCTAAAGTGCTAGATAAAAATTGTCTCTATACAAATCCTAACTAAAGCGAACTCAGCTGTGCCTCGGCATTCTCCGGCGGATGTTTCCCTTGATCGTGAGAAGCGGCATCTCGGCAGCACAGCCTGATTACACGCTCGACTGCGCTTGGGTCCTGGCGCTCCGAGTCTCACTCCGCTACCATGTCCACAAACCAGCCGCCCCAAGGGATCATGACCTCGCCCGTCTTCCGTGCGTCGCTCAGCCCCGCTCACGGCGCCGTACGCCCACAGTCTTGGCAGGGTACGCGGTGCTCATCGTGCTCTGCGTCGTCGTCGTCATGGGCGCCGGCGTGTGCTACCGCACACGCGTGTACCAGCGGCGTATGCATGCTCTCGCCGCTGCGAACGGGGGGCAGCCCGCGCAGGTGACGCCCCGTGACTGGGGCCCCGCACCTCGCCTCGTCGACGTATATCTGCATCCACCGAGCGAGAAGCATGAAGCGGAATGGGGGGAAATCATGGTGTGTGACTGTTTCCAAGTTCCTGCATGTGCTCATTGAAGGGCTTGAAGCCGGTGTCGGTCAAACGGGCAGGACTTGACGCCTCGGGTGTTTCCTCGATAGCACACATCGCTGTCATGATCGGCATGCCCTTCTCGCAGTTTGGGGCGTTGGGGGCCCAGAGCCCGCTGCCCGACGAAGAACGACAGCTTCCGCA